CCACAGGTGCATCTCAAGTAGGTCCAAGGAGGTGATCCTCCCCCTCTAACGGACACTGGTCAGGCTGCAGCTGGAGTACTGTGTCCAGTTCTGGGCACCCCACTTCAAGAGGGATGTGAACAACATGGAGAGGGTCCAGAGGCGGGCCACCCGCATGATCCGGGGACAGCAGGGCAGACCCTACAACGATAGGCTACGGGACCTAGTCAGCCTTCACAAGAGAAGGCTGAGGGGGGACCTGGTGACCGTCTACAAACTCACTAGGGGGGACCAGAAGGGTTTGGGGAGACCTTGTTTCCCCTAGCGCCCCCCGGGATAACGAGGAATAACGGCCACAAGTTGTTGGAGAGTAGGTTTAGATTAGACATCCGTAGGAACTACTTCACGGTTAGGGCGGCTAGGATCTGGAACCGACTTCCAAGGGAAGTGGTGCTGGCTCCTACCCTGGGGGTCTTTAAGAAGCGGCTCGATGTCTACCTGACTGGGGCCATTTGAGCCCAGTTTTCCCCCTGCCCAGGCAGGGGGTCAGACCCGAAGATCTCCAAGGTCCCTTCCGACCCGACTTCTAGGATTCTATGATACTGTCAATGAGGGTGGCACTTGTAGCCACCACGATGCTGGCGCTTGTAGCCACCACGATGCCGGCTCTATGGGACACACATCCGGTGGGCTGAGCCCTGCCAACTCATTCCACCTCTGTCACCTAGAAGCTATTAAACAGGGAGCTGGTGGCTGATGGGGGGGAAGACCCCAGTCCACCTCCTCCCCCCATTCACTTAGCTCAGGACCCAGCCAGACAGCCTCCCTAATTAAAAACCAGCAGCAGCTCCAATTAATTTTTCATTGGTACAGGCCAGTGAGGCGTTCTGGCACCCTCTGGTGGCCAACGCAACTTCTCAGCGTTCCCATGGCCAGCTCAAACCTGCTGGAGCTTGGTGAACGGACTGATTTCCAGACAGACACTGCAGGGCGCGTCTATGTCCTCGCCAACATAAGAGGTGAATGGAGACATCTTTGTCCTCCGGTTCGGCAGTCCAACTGGAAAAGCCAGCAGGGCTTCCTTGGTGTGGATACGGAGACGGAGAAGCCTGGGCAGGGAGGGAAACTGGGTCTGGTAGGTCCTGGCCGAGGAATGTGGCTCAGGGTCCAGGCTGGCTGGTGAGGAGGTGAATGGGATGAGCAGGTGGATGGGGAGCCCGAACCCTGGAGCACTGGGCCGAGGTGGGGAACTAGCACCAGGATAACCACCACCCTCAATGCCCTGTTATGCCCAGGTGATAACATCCCTGGGGTCTAATTCCCTTGGTCTGTCTGGTGCCCCTGACCCTGGGCTCCCCAGATCTCACCAGCACCTGTACCCGAGGTGTCGGGGATTGGGGGAATCTGCCCTGGTGCTCTCTGAAGCAAAGCAGAAGGGCTTGTGGTATGTCTGGGCCGATCCCTGGGTCCTGATTCTGCACCGGGCCAGCTCTGGGTGCATGGCATCTGGGCAAGAGGCCTGGGCTGCCAGCCTGGGGTCAAATGCAAACTTCCAGGAGGAGGAACATGACGCATAACGCAGGGAGAGCATGTCGCAGCCGGGGAGGCGGGGATCAGGGGGAAGCTTTCAAAGCTTGCAAAGACTGCCACCCCCTCACTATGCTTTCGTTGCCTCTCTGTGCCCCAGACCTGGCTGCCAGTTTACAGACCCACTGCAGGGAGAGCTACCGATTCAGTCCCTCGAGAAAATACTATCCTATGCTGCCATATGCCATGCACTCCTTGTTTTTGGGAAGCAGAAGGTAGGGGGGAAAGGGTTAATGTTGGACTCTGCCCCCACCCCCGCTTCCTGCCTGAGAAGCCATGTTGCAGCACAGCGTCTGCATGCTTCTATTCCAGCAAGTTAAAGAACAGCCTCCCTGCTTAAGACATGCACGCTAATTTTGGGGGCTGGTTTCTTTTCCTCGTGCATGGTCCTCCAGGAAATACAGTAAAACAGGGTCAGGGTCATTGGATGAGGGGCCTGCTTCTGGCATTGGGTGTAATGTTCATGGCAGCCCTAAGAAACCCGGGGGCCCATGGAGACAGATCCCCATCTGGAAGAGGAAGCAGCTTTTCCCAGAGTGCTAGAAGAGCTCTTACCTCAGGGTAGGAGCGCTTTCATCACCTGCCGATGGAAAGGCATGTCCGGGACCGGCCTGTCACTTTATCCTCCACCTTATGCTTCTCCTATACAAAAGATCCTACAGCATCAGCCACCGCGAAGGGAGGGAAAAGCGGGCGCTCCTCACTGGGGCCTTGGGAACGGCAATGGCTTCCACCGTCCCCCCGAGGTTGCAACCCCTCCTGCACCAGCTGTGGCATGCCCTATAGCAGCCACACAGCAGGTTACCCAGCTCAGCCTTGCAGCCCCAGACCAATTCCTGGACAGGAGGGTGGGAGCTGCCAGACTTACACTAAGCACCCCACGGTTTTCCACGTGCTCACAAGTGAGCTGAGAACCAAAGAAAGGGAGCAGGGAGCCAGGAGCAAAAGGTTAAGCACTCCCCCAGTGTCCATGAGTTTGCAGGTGGCTTATGCTGCATTGCACAAAGGTAGGAAGGCTGGACCCCATGGGCTGGAGGCATGGCGGGGTAGCTTGGGGCAACTCTGGAGGCTCAGCTCCATCCTTACTGCCAGGTAAGCTCGGATTTGCTCCTGTAGCCTGGCAGAGTCCCAGTCCTCATAAGGCAGAAGGGGTGGGTGTTTGCAGCAGGAGGCTGGTCAGGCTAGAACCTGGGGAGGAACCAGGTTGAACCCTGGGAAAGTGAAGGCAGTGAACTGAGGATCCATGCCCCAAAACCCCTGGGAACAGGCAAAGTCTGGTAGGTAAGCTGAGGCTAAGGCCAGCCTGGAGCAGGCGGGAGCCGCTCGGGCATCCCGGGTGTCCAACCCCTCTGTGCCTTTGCAAAGGGCAGCCTTTCTCCTATGATCCTGCCTCCCAGGAGCAACCCTAGTAGCTCTGTAGCCCACCAAGAGCTTACAATTAGGTGCAAGATAGCAGGAGAGCCAGCATCAGAGCCCATCCCCGACCCACTCCAGTGAAAGCAACACTGGCTTCATCGCCTGCACGGTGGAGGAGTTGTAGTCCCAGGTCACAGGGATCCAGGTGACCATCCCCTGGACCGGAGGCTGCACAGTCAGCCCAGCGCTTGCTCCCGGGCCCTGCTTGGAGCCTCCCAGGTGCACTCCCGGGAGCCAGCGGTGCTCTCCTCTCCTCCGACAGCATCCCTTCCAGCTGACCAGACACAGACCTTGGCCTTGGCAGCTCCCGCCTCCTCCCTCATGCCCCACCGAGCTCGCGGCAGGGGCTCGGGCGGAAGAGCAGGACACAGCCTGCATTAGCTCCGTATTCGGGACACAACCAACCGTGCCCCCACCTCTGTGCCCGGGCCGGCCACCCCGTGCAGGGCCGACGGAGCGGGAAGGAGACGCTGAGCCACGGCCTTCACCCGATTTACTTGTTTAATTCCTAAATCCACTCCTCCGGCTGGAGGTACAAAATCTCCTCCCCTGCCCCGCCGTGGAGGAGCAGGCTTCCAAACCCAGAGTCAAGGCCTCGAACATAAGAGCCCCCCACCCCGCTTTCCCCACACACCCCGGGGAACCGGGGCCCGACCCGGGCTGGTCCCAGTCGGAAAAGGCAGTTTCTAAGTGTTTACACGAGAGCAGAGGAAACCGCAGACCACAACACGGGGAGCGCACGGCTGTCTGGGACCGCCTGTCCCGCTCCGGCCGAGCGAGAAGGGGAGGTGGGGATTTCTCGGCCCGGGTGGGGGCTCCATCCCTATCCCTCCCCGCGGCAGACCCCGCAGCAGGCCGCGGAGGTCCGAATCCATCTGAAGGTCACTTGGAGTTTGCCCCCAATGAGGGGTCCTAGTCCACATCCTTCCACCCTCCGGGGATCATGCCCCCTGCCCTCTCTCCCCCATCCACGCCCGGCTCTAAGGGGGCTCTGCTGGTGCATGGAGAGGGTCGAGGCGGGAAGGCGGGTCGTGCCCCTGCAAGACCCTGTGAACATACCTGGGTCTCGCTTTAGGCCACAGGGATGCGCTTTCCCGCACAAGGCAGCTCCATCCCCCAGGCACCCCCCCGGGACGAGCCGGGCTCAGGCTGGGAGAACCCATCAAGGGAAAGGATGGTTGCCAGCCGATGAGACAAAACGTGGCCAACGGCGCCCAAGCGCGTCGGCCGGCAGTGCGTGAGCACGCACAAGCGTGCACGGTGTGAGAGAAAGAGAGAGACACGAACCGCATGGCATACACAGACAAAATAAACCCAGTCGGGTGGGGGGCGGGCGGGGGGGGGGGGCACGCGCAAGCGAGGGGGGCAGCGCGGCCTAATTCACGCTGTCTTCGTCGCTGGCTTCGCCCCGGTCGTCTTTGGTCTCGGAGAGCGCGCTCTCGTCGATGTGCTCCAGGGAGTCGGCGTGCTGGATGGAGAGCTCGGAAAGCGCCACGGTGGGCAGCGTGCTCTGCTCGGGGAACAGCCAGGGCTTGAAGTGCGGGTTGTGTTTCAGCTTCCAGTCGTGGTATTTCAAGCAGGCTTTGTACATCTTCTTCATGGCCTGCAAGAGGAGGGAGCAGAGGAGAAAGGGGCTCAGACCCGCAGCTTGGAAACAGCGAGAGACCGGCGGGAGGGTGGAGGCGATGCCTGCCCCGGCTCAGAGCCCCTACAGCTCCCCGTATCCCACACAGAGACAAAGAGGGGCTACAAAAAAGGTCAAGGAGATTCCCCACCTAGTCAAGGATAACGAGGCAGGGGTTTAATTACAGCAAGGAGTCAGCAGCAGGCGTCTCCGGCTGCTGTTTCAGGACCCAGGGTGGGTGGCAACAGAGCTTTTGGGCTGACGGAAAGCAAAAGCCACCAAGCGACAGCAAAGGCGATGGGACGTTCGTGCCCTGAACTCGTGGAGCTCCCTGCCACAGGACGCTGGTGGCTTCCCCCAGGGCCGTGGAGGAAAGGTCCTTGGAAACGTGGTCTCCAGCCTCTGAGTCATAGATGTTAGGGTCGGAAGGGACCTCAATAGATCATCGAGTCCGACCCCCTGCATAGAGTCAGCTGCAAGGAGCCACGGGAGAGGAACAGGGTGAATGTGCCCTGCTCACCCTCCCTCTAGGCACCTGCTCTCTGCCGAGGCACGTGATGGGATACCAGGCATGATGGACCCGGGGGCCGAGGAAGCCGAGGATGCCAGGACCTCCGGGAGGAGGAAAGCGCGCGGAAGGGAAGTCAGGCGTGTCCGACTGACTCCGGACACTCACCTTCGGAGCCAGGAACTGCGACGACTTGTTCACCACCCACTTGGGCAAGGAACCTGAGCAAGAGACAAAGGCACGAGGCACAGTGGTGAGACAGGGCAAGGGGGGGCATCACGTGGACAAGCAGCGAGGGAAAAAGCAGGGGAGGGAATCCAGGCTCCAGAGAGCCCTGGTGTGCAGAAGAGTCACAAAACCCATTTTGTTCTGAAAAGGCTGAAACCCAGACAGCACGGGGTCCCCAGCACCAAACGCGTCCTTTTGAGGTTTTCAAAATCCCCTCCCTGCCCTTGCTATTTAACCCGAGGCTCTTGGCTGAAGCACACTAGAAATCCTGGAGCCGTTCTAGTCCCCCGAGAGGCCTGGCTTGAGTGAATTTGCCAATAAAAATTGCTGCTGGGTCAGGCTCCACGGCAGCTTTTGAAGCACTGATGCCTCGCTTTCTAAAGCCATGGCAGGGGGTCGGACTTGATAATCTGCTCAGGTCCCTTCTGACCCTACTAACTATGAAACTGTAGAGGCCTGAGGATACGGCCGCAGCAGCATCTCCGTCACGTGAGGTCATTCTCCGGACAGCTGGGATTTGTGTCTGCGGGCTGTAAACCGGCAAGATTGGACTTTTAAGCTCCCTGCATGAGTCCCCGGGCCCTTCCCCATGCACTGGGTGTACGAAGCCTTGTGTAGCCTCCTGCACTGCTTCTCTCCCGACGGGCTGTGCCCTTGGCGAGTTTGAATCGGGAGACTCAGGTGGGGGAAGGCAATGGCAGAGAAAGGGTTAGGAGTGAGGATGGAAGAGGCTGGCAGGAGCTGGGGATGTCCCCCACATTAGAACCAGCAACTCAGGCTGGGGTGGGTGGATGGAGGCATCTAGGGTCCGGCTTAGTGGGTTGATAGGATGTGCTAATGCCACTCAATATAACCGGGCATGGGAAAGAGGAGGCAGAGCAGCCTCTGCCTTCCTGCACTGCCTCCCAGCTGCATCCGTACCTTTGGGGTCTACCTGGGCCAGGTAGGTGAGGGCGCAGTTGGTGGCTCCTTTGCCCTGGATCCAGTAACCCGTCAGGATGGAGACGGCTCTCACCATGTCTTTCCTCGGAGGGTATTTCTGCACAGAAGGTAAAGCAGACAGACCCGGGCTGAACCTGTGCCCTGATTTGGACCGGACCAGCGAGTGGCTCACGCCCTATCCACTGGGCACCCAGGTGGCCCAGAACCAGAGGTCAAGGCGGCAGCACTACATTGGCACATTGCTCCCAGAGCAGGGGGATCCCCGGGGCAGCGGGGTCATGAACGGGGACCACTCGAGACAGGCTAAAGTAGGTATCAGCTGAGCTCCTCTTTGCCACGTGGGCGGATCTAGGATCTTGCAAAGTGGGGTGCATGACCCCATTAAACACGACACGCATTTTCTCCAGTTAAAAGAAGCTTCACAAATAAGTACAGACCTAGAGCTAAATTATTCAATTTAAGATTGAAGGAAAAAAAGAACCACCTGGATTGGAACGTGCACTGATTTGCTATTTCATATATTATGTGTAAGAACACAGCAAACTACACAAAAACCAGCCGAAGATGTTGCTTCATTGGTCCTGGAGTACTTCACAGTCAAACGTACGTCTCTCTTGCAGATGTACATAACAAAATCAAGCCTTCTTGAGCATCTGGACAATGCTTCCAATGCTTGAGAGTGATGAGCTAGTGTTCTCCCGAGTTCATATTTCCACCGCGCAGTTAATGCTTTTTGCTAGAATTACAGGGCTGTGAAATGGGAGCTACGTGACTAGGAGCCGCAGAGATAGCAGCACTGCAGAAGTGAGCACAGCTGGAGTAGCGGTCCTATTGAAGACCACCCCACTGCAATACTTGTGACAGCTGCTGCCCGTTCCCCCTTAGCTGTGTTTTCAGCCCGGAGGATCCAAACACTCGCCCGGTGGCTGGTGGCCCAAGGAAGCAGCACGGTGACAGCCAAGGCTCAGGGGACCAGGGCTGGTGCTCCCAAAGAGCCCCCGCTCCATCACCCTCTCCAAAGCTGAAAAACCCAATGCACCCCACAGCTGCACATAGGCAGAGAATTGGAGGCAGGAAGCTGGGGCTCTCATTAAAAGCCCCATGAGATCTTAAGGGAGGGATGATCTACTGTCCCGGGATCCCCCACTGTGGTCCCAGAGTCTAGCAGGAGCTGGTGCCCACAGCCAGCACGTGCCCCACCAGTGTCCAGGTCTCTGGGGCAGTCAGCCAGCGCCTATCCAAGCAACCCTGGTTCAGTAAATCCAAGCCCTTGCCCCAGCTCACCCGCAGGTTTTGACCTCCCGGAGCGCCGGGCACTCACCGGGTGCTTGACGGAGTAGTTCATGATAATATAATCCGTTCCCATGGGCAGCCAGGAGCGGAGGGTGATGACGTCTCTGTTCTTCAGGGGCTTGGGGCACTTCCCTGGGCAGGAGAAAGGCAAGGTTTTAGAGCAACAACCAGGGAGAACGGTGCTAGACTGCGTCACCTCTGCTCGCCCTGATGCACCCATCTGCCCCATTCAAACGTGCTCCCCAGGGTGCCTATTCACCACTACAACAGAGGGTCTCCCATTCCCACACCACATCCTCCTTCCAAGACCCCAATCCAAGCTTTCCATGGAGGGCAATGAGGCCCATTGCTCTTGCCCTCCTTTGTTCGCAGTCCAAAAAGGGACTGGACACGTGCTTGGAGGAAAGGGGCATCAGTCACTACTGAGTAGGGGAATAAAGGGCACGGCTTCTGCAGCAGAGCTGCCTGGACCTGCAATGCTGGAGGAACAGGGGAAAAAAGTCAGTCTTCCTTCCAGCCTCCGATCTCTGTCCCTGTGCAACTCAGAGGACTAGATGGAGTAAACGGCATTTCTTATGTTCTTGTTCTTACGTTCCTGTCCATGCGCTGGAGAGGAGGCTGCACGGCCAGCGCCCCAGCAGCACACACAGCCCAGTATGACAGCCAAGTCCTGCATCTGCCCCAGTCCCTTGCCAACCCCTGTCTGGAGCAACTACCTGCTGCCACTGTCCCCAAGAGCCCCCATTCTCCCCACACCGCCGCCCTGCCTTCCCCTTCCTCCTCTTCCTCACAAGCATAGTATCCCACGTCGGCATTGACCGTCAGCTTCCCGATGTCGAAGGTCTCGATGACGTTGGTGTCCCACTTCTTCCGGTACTCAATGTCGTGCAGCACGTCATAGAGGGTCTCCGCTGCCACATCCTTGCACTCCATCTTGCACTGTGGGGACAGGCAGGGTCAGAGAGCCACAAAGGCATGGGGGTCGCCACCTCCCCGCTTCCCTGCTCCCTTCCCACTCCTACCGGGGCTCACCCCTGGAAGTCCCATTGCCTCTGCGTAGCCTGGCCAGGGGCAGGGAAGCATTGATCCTAGTCTCCTAGAGAACAGGTGTTTCCCTGCGCAGTGGTGGGGGCAGGGCTCACTGCCTGGCTCTGCCACCGACTTTGGCACGTGGCCTTGGTCAAGTCCCTTATCCCTGTGAGGTTTTGGGCAGCGGTGCTGCTTTGCTACCTGCAGGGGCTCAGATGTGAGAGCAATGGGGGGGTGGTCAAGACCCCCTGAACAGGCCAGAACATTGCTTCAGGCCCCTTAAATCCCCCCATGCTGGGACCATCACCTTCACCTCCTCCGAGGGGCTCGACGCAGCTGTCATAGGTTTTGTTTATGGTGGCACAGATCAGCCCAGCTGCTTGGGCGTATCGCCGCAGAGACCCCGGCACCGGAGGTTGAGAACGGGCCCTGGGTCTGTCTGGGATGGTCTCAGAGCAGCAGCTGGGCCCGGATAGCCCCGCAGTCCCTTCCCAGCCCTACAGCTCCAGGACTCGGTCATTAGCATTTTGCATACGCTCAGCCTCCATCCAGACACCACCAGCAGTGATGCAGCCAATAACGCAGTTATTACACTCGGCTCCCTTTATGCTGGGCTGGGTTTATTAGCCACGTAGTCTGGCGCCAGCCCTTCAACTCAACCATCCTTCTCAGAGCTGCAAAATGAACCCCCAGCCTCGAGAGGCTGCGGGGCCAGCCGCACCCCCTTGCCACGAGCAGGACAGCCCTGAAGCATGGCACAAACAGCTCGGTTCAAGTCTGTTCCCCACAAACAGTCAGCTCCCGACGGAGTCCCTTCTTTTAGCACCCGGCATGATCATTGCACTGCCTCGTTTGTGCTCTGCTCCTCTCCCTGAGACGCAAGCGGCTATGAAAGGAGCTCAGGGCAGGCTGCACCCCAGCTCGCCCTATAAATCCTTGCAGGGTGAGGTCAAAAGGCTGGATCGCAGGAACATTGTCCCAGCTGGCTCGTCTCTGCAGCCACAAGAGCATCTGTAATCAGAGGGCGTCACAGACCACAGCTGGGGATGCTGCATGGGGGAGATGCCTGGATGGGGAAGTCAACAGAGCTGAAGCATCTTCCCTGTGTAGGAAGAGCTGCCCCCTCAGACAGGGAGCACCATTACATGCGGGGTCTCACACTTTGCATTGACTGAACATGCTGGCCCCAAATGCCGCGGAGACTAATGCAGTGCAGACATCTTGCTGTGCACCAGTGACATGCGGCTGTCTCTGGGGAGGAACATGGCAGCAGTTTAAGGACGCGGAGCAATGCAACAGGACCCTTCAGGACAGGAAGTGAAGAATCCTGTCTCCGGCGGGCGAGGAGGGGGTTTAACAGGGACGAATGCAGCTGCCATACATGATATTTGCCCAGCACACCACAACAAGCCCCTCCTCGGCTCAGATCATATGGAAGGATCACTCGCTGCACAGGGCCATCCTCCCAGTCCCCTCGCAGGCGGTGGAAGAAGAGGAAAGCGCTTTGAGGCCCCCCTCGCCTACCCTCCAAAAACCCTAAGCAGCTGCCTAAAGCCCCCAGCCTCAACATCATTCCCTGGATTGAGCCTGGATTTCACGCCCAAACCCAAGACCAGGCAGCAGGTCAGAGACAGGTTTCATGGACAAGACCACACATCCCCAGCCCTCCCTGCAGCGGCAACAGAAGGGCGGACACTTATTCGCCCTCAGCCGATCTCAGCGTCCCCTACTGCGGAGAGACAGGTGCGCGGAGGATGGGGGACTTGCCCAGGGCTGCCAGCAAAGGCAGTGGCAGCGTTGAGCTTACGTCACAGGCTCACACTGCGGCTCCAATGCGAGGAGCCAACGTGGCGCCGGGCTCTGCGAGCAAAGCAGAGCAGGGAGACGGTGATTGATCTCTGTACGTGGCTTTTGTGAGACTGTTCTGGGAGACAGTGTCTCCTTTTGAAGGCCGGGAGCAGCCTGCGTGATGGATAGCCGCAGAGCCCAGCTTTACCATCCAAGGCACCAGCCGCTTGCCATCTTCAGCCTCTCCTCACCAGTCCCGTCCCCCAGACCCCCAACCATTTTCGTTGCCCTCCACTGGACTCTTTCCAATGTGTCCACATCCTTTAAGTAGTGGGGGGGCCCCACAGCTGGACACAGGACTCCAGATGTGGCCTCCCCAGTGCTGAATAGAGGCCAAGAATCACTTCCCTCCATCTGCCGGCAATGCTCCTACCAATGCAGCCCAGGATGCTGTTCGCCTTCTTGACAACAAGGGCACACTGCTGGCTCCCGTTTAGCTTCTTGTCCACTGTCCCCCCAGGTCCTTCTCTGCAGAGCTGCTGCCCAGCCCGTCCCCCCCAGCCTGCACCGGTGCATGGGATTGCTCTGTCCTAAGCGCAGGACTTCGCACTTGTTCTCGTTGAACCTCATGAGATTTCTTTTGGCCCAACCCTCCAACGTGTCAAGGTCTCTCCGAATCCTAGCCCTGCCCTCCAGCGCATCTACTACCCCCCCCCCCCCCC